AATTCAGGAGAAAAGAGCCGAAGAAGGACCAAAACACAACAATTTGATAGTTCGAGGACCAAAGGTGCAAATATTGAAAAGTTGAGCTAAATGCAAAAAGAGAGGGAAGACATGCCAAGTATAAGCTCAATGACAAAGCAAAACAACTGGAAGAAGAAAATATTGAATAGGGACTGAAATGAAGACAATTGAAAGTTGGAGGACCAAAGCGCAAATACTCAAAAGATATGCCGAATGAGGGGCATAAGAATTGATGGTATCAATCATCAATTGGAAGATAAAATTTGTTGAAAAGATGAAGAAATCGAAGAAAGAAGTCAAGAGAAGCAACAAAGAAGTTCGGGGACCAAATTGAACAAACCACATAGATGTTACATCTATGCGACCGCATAGTGTAACCTTCTATGCGGTCGCATAGAGGGCTCCAGGGATTCAAAGAGCCCAAACTTTTTGATCTATGCGACCTCATAGATTCCTTCTATGCGGTCGCATAGAAGGATTTTGGAACTCCCGGGCGCGGTTTTTCGTTTTGGTTGAAACTCCTTTTCTACTTAATTTGGACGCGATATAAAGACCTAAGATCATGATATGAAGGGTAAGAACGACCAGGGAGAAAAGAGAGACCAAAATTGGAGGCAAGAAACTTGATTTTGGATTCAATTTCACACGGGCTCGAGACGGGATTGAAGATTATACACACGGATTGAAGAACTTCTATACGGGTGTATTCTTATTATCTTTTAATTTCGTTTTTCAATTTCTTGATTTTGCAATGATGATTTTAGGCTAGGTTTTTTTATTCATTAGGAATTTGATGAACCTTTTGATGATTTAACTTCTCGTTATTTCATAAATTCAATATTAATTTCGATTGGACAAATGCTTGATTTATATGAGTTGAATGTTTCCATAATTATTTGGCCAATTATTATGTGATTGTAGATGATTTATTCTTTGCATTCGAAAGAAGGGGAATAAATTCGATAGAATATAAATCGACATAGGGTTCGATAGGGGATGGAAACTTACCTCTATGCTTTATGCAATTCATGAAAATGTTCATAAAAAGTCATGCATTCCTATACATTGCATCATCCATAGAAATATAGGCTGGTGATGTGTAAGAGTAGATTCAATATATATCGAGAGAGTATACTGGATAATTTAGGAACATTGAATTGGCATTTTGTTCATCGATTCGTTGAATTTGTGAAATTAGGGTTTTTAATAATCAATTGGGGATTCAAGTTCTTAATGATTTCATTTCAATTCATTTCAATACAAGAATTATACAATTGCATATTTACATTTAGTTGCGTATTTATTTCATTAGCTTAGTGAAATTTTGAAATTAGGGTTTCCAATTTTGCAATTAGGGTTTCGAATTGGGGATTTCTCCCAAAATTAGGGTTCTCATATTTAAACCAAATTTTTCATTCAATTAGATTCGGTTAAGGTCACGTTAGTTTAATTAGAGCTAATTTAATCCTCGTGGGAACGATACTTGGACTCATAGTCCACTTTACTACTTGTTAGCGAACCGTACACTTGCGGTGGGTTTTAAAATTGAGAAGAAATAATTTTGCGAACACACCTCCTCAATATGCTTATTAATGACAACTTTTACTGCATTTTTTTCATTAGGTTCTAAAACTTCTTGTTCTAAATGATCAATCACTTTAATAGAATAAATAGGGTTAGTTTCGTCAGGATGTCTCATGATATCATAAATATTAAATTCACTGAGTTTATCGTCAAATTCCATAGTAAGCATGCCACTATAAAAATCTATTTTAGCTTTGAATATCTTTAAGAATGGTCTTTCTAGCATAATAGGGGTAGTTTGATCACTATATCCCATATCAAGCACACAGAAGTCAGCAGAAAAATCAAATAATTAATTTTCACGAGAACATCCTCAACTACACCCTTAGTATATGCATTAGATTTATCAGCTAATTGAATTACCACGACAGTTTCATTCAAAGATCTAAGTTTTAAAGAAGCGTATATAGAGTATGGCATAACATTAGTAGAAGCTCTTGAGTCTAACACAACCTTTTCAAACCTAGCATTACCTATCATACAAGGGATGGTAAACATGCCTGGATCTTTGCACTTTGTAGGGAGTGTTTGTTGAATGATTGTAGAGACGTTTTTTTCACCTACATTTTTATTTTCACACCTTTTAAGTTTCTGTTTTCTTTTAATGGTACACAATTCTTTCAAGAACTTATCATAATGAGATACTTGTTTAATAGCATCTAACAATGGAATGTTTACCTCACATTTACGAAAAGTTTCATAAAGTTCCTCATTTGGTTCATCTTTCCTAGATTCCGCTAAAGCCTGAGGAAAATGGGGGATCGGTTTAAACTCAGAAAGGGGTGGAAACTTACGCTTAAGTGCGCCATCGTCATTGGGAACAATCTTTTCTTCAATGGCATATTTCTTCTTTTCCTGCTCCAATGATGTAGGGGCTGCCCTTGAAATTTCAACATTCTTACCACTCCTCAACAATATTGCACCTACATTTTCCTTTGGATTGACCATTGTTTGAGAGGGTAATTTTCCTGAACCTTCTGCTTCCAGCTTGTTGATTGACGTTGCCATTTTACCCATCTGGTTCTCCAAACTTTTTATACTTGTCCTTGTCTCCTGTTGAAATTGCAAAGTGTTAGTGGCAAGAGACTTAACAATATCTTCTAAAGGCGTACTCGAGTTAGAAGTTTGGCCCTGTTGTTGTTTAGGAGGATATAGTTTCCTATATTACTAGAAGTTTGGGCGATTTGGAGGCATTGGTTGATTCACCTGTTGACTCCTGTAGCTAAAATTAGGATGATCCCTCCATCTTGTGTTGTAGGTATTCGAGTAAGGATCATAATTCCTTTGTGGTTGTCCAGGCCCATTGCATTAACTTGTTCATTGGGGTCTTCTTGAAGAGTTGGGCACATGTCAGTTGGATGCCCCATCACCGAACAAATTCCGCACGCCTTCGTCGTTTGCATATTACCTGCAGCCATTTGACGAACAAGAGAAGTTAAACTCGCAAGTTGTTGTTCAAGAGATGAAACATTTACCTCATTAACATGTCTAGAAGGGGTGTCGAGTCTAGTGCCGAATTGTTGAGAATTGGTCGCCATGTTTGCAATCAAGTTCTTCGCGCCCTCAGGAGTTTTATCCACCAAAGCTCCTCCACTTGCAACGTCAATCATGCTCCTATCAGTGGGTAGAAGACCTTCATAGAAATATTGGATGAGAAGTTGTTCGCTGATTTGATGATGGGGACAGCTTGCACATAGTCGCTTGAAACGCTCCCAGTATTCATGTAAGGATTCTCTGCTGTTTTGCATTACACCACAAATAGCCTTTCAGATCTTTGCTGCCCTTGAAGCTAGGAAATATTTCTCCAAAAACAACCCCTTCATTTCCTCCCATGTTGTGACACTTCCAGATGGCAGATAGTAGAGCTAGTCCTTAGCTGAGTCCTTTAGGAAAAATGGAAAAGCTCTCAATTTGATTTGCTCTTCAATTACCCCCGTGGGTTTCATACTTGTGCACGCCACATGGAATTCCTTTAAATGCTTGTGAGGATGTAGGCAAAAGATGTATTAGTCCAGATTTTAATTCAAAAGAGGTGGCAGCATCTAATGTAGGAAAAGTTATACAGAGGGGTTGTTGATGCAAATCTGGAGCTGCAAGCTCTTTCAAAGTTTGATTCCTGGCCATGTCAATCCTTAACATGTGCAAAGTCCTTTCTATTTTTAGATCGCACTGCAAATCACCTTGATTAGAGGATCTAGTTACGGGTATACACAATTAAGGAAGCAAAAAATATATATATATTTTTGGTATTTTCAAAATTTTAATTTTTTTTTTTGGAATTAAAATCTAATGAAACAAATAAAAAGCACAAAAATAAACTAAGTCACTCCCCGGCAACAGCTCCAAAATTTGGCGCATGCTGTCGTAGACACTCCAAATTAAAACCTATACTCCTTAAAACAAATGTAATAGTGGAAGTAAGGGTCGATCTCACGAAAAGTGATTAGTGTATTTCTATGCTAAATTAACTAAAAGGGGGGTTTTGAATATGTTGAAATCAATTCTAACTAAAAACAATGCAAATTAATAAATTGAATTAAAGCAATGAAAAAAACTAACCTTGGCCTGAGTCAATATCCACCTTCGAAATTTTACAACTGATCATAGATGCAAGAATGATTCAATTCATATTTTGAATATTCACCGTTGGAAAAATAATTACCATTCAAATTAATTTCCTATTCCTCCTTAAGTGTAATTAGTTAGGGCAACGACCTTCTAACTAATCCTAATTATCAAACAACCATAGACAAGCGTTAAAATTTAATTCAATAACAGCTTTACGTATTTACGAAATCGATGAACTAGATAACACAAGCCAAGCGTTTGCATTTAACCTATTCAAACATTCTTCCTAAGATTTAATAATTTTCAAACCAGCAAATTACTAATCCTAGTTATTTCACAAGTTAAATCAATCAAACAATTACGGATTTGATATGTAACTTAGCAGCAGATTGTAATGAATAACAAATTAATATGCATCCTTGCAATTAAACACAACAATCATTGAAAATAAGTGCAAAAGAATGTTCAATACCCAAAAACATGAATTAAACTAATAAAACAATTCGATCTCATAGTTGTATAGATTTCGGGGCTTCAATATCCTCGACCAAGTATGAGAAATTAGATAGACATCTTCAATTTTAGAGCACAAAAGAGAGAAAAGTGATTCGGGGGCGTTCTTTCACGTTCTAGGGTGAATTAGGATATTTATGTGGTGAAAAGATTTGTTTCCATACATGGTTAGACGGAAAAAGGAAATAAAAAAGCACGCCTCGAATTCCTTCTATGCGGCCGCATGATATATTTCCATGCTACTACGTGGAACAATAAAAAAGGCTCCAGAAATTGCTAAACTAGTTCGTGCAACCGCATGGAAAACGAACCATGCGACCGCATGGTTTTCTCCGCCGGACAACTTTTAGTATTTTAGTAATAATTTTCTCTCCCAATATCCGATTGAGGTGATTCAAGTTGTGTTGAAAAGATACTCAAAGATCTACAACTTTTCTTCAGAAGTCATCTTCCAATTCGATCATCTACCATGTCGAAAATGGGTCCCAATATGATGCTAAAAACCAGTGCATTACTTTTTCGATCGGAAATTGATGTGTGATTATACTTCGACTATAGTTCACCTCTTTGACTTCTTTCTTCATCCACTTGACCTCTAAAACTCTTGAATCTTCATTCCATCGTTCGTCTCCCGGTTCAACTTTTGGATATTTGCAATTCAGTTCTTGATCTTTTGATTTCTTTCACTTTGGTCCTTCTTCACTCCTTTCCTCTAATTTATGCCGTAATCATCCAATTGTGACCTAAATCAAAATATAAGGGTACTTAGTACATTTAGGCGTTAATTAATCACAAAAATGAATGTATTAATGGATGTAAAACATGACATTTTATGTCTTATCAATTAATGGTTATGCTCAATCATTGTAAAACACCAAATGAACTTAGAAATGAAGAAATGACAATTTTATTTTGAATAATTAAATTGAAATACAAGATATTGAATATGAAATTCAACATTGAATACAAGTTTGAAATATAAAAATTACAAGATAGAATTTGAAAAATTAGAAAGCTTAAAAATATAATGACTTTTCAAACTTTCTTGAAGATGTTTTATCTCCCGCTAAAACACACTTGAGGAGATCTTGAGATTTTATCTTCTTTTATATTTGAATTCTCGAGCTCCGAAATTGAAAACTTCTTCATTTTGCTTGAAGAATCTTGAAGGACAATTATTTCCTTTTGTCTTCAATTGATCTTGTCTTCCATATGAAGATAAGCTTTATTAAAGTTAAGTTGCTGTCTTTTTCTTGAGTGTCAGCAAGGCTGGCAGGAATAACTTTTAATGTGGCATACACATTTTGTAAAGTATGTCTCTTGAATTATGAATCCCATATTGTCTTGGTTCATCTAAATAATTGGGTTCATATAGTCATTTTGAATTCTTTTGATTTTCTTGAGCAATTAATTTGTCAATATCAAACCCATAACAATCATTCCTACAACTATATGTATAATCTAACTTTGAACTTGATTGGGAAGAGGATACTCATAGATTTTGATTTCTTTGAGTTAGTTTCTACCAAAGATGCAAATTTCTCATAAATAATTGTTAATTCTTTTGGAGTTTTACATTGATTGAAAATAGCCACTAATCTTGATTTTTCTGTAAGAAAATTAGCATTCTTGTCCAATACTTTCTTTGAAATTTTTGGAATGCCAATATTCATCTGATCTTGAATATATGAATTTACTTCTTTTGGGCAACAATTAGTTTCATGAAATTTCGACCACTATTTTATTTTGAATTTCCGAATAATTTTTTGAACTTGATATTCAGAAATTTGATCTTGTTTTACGAAATAATCCCAACAAAATATCCACGAGACTTTCATATTAAATGCAAACTAAAATAAAATATTTTCTTCAGGCTTTAAAAAGGTTTTGCCTTTTTTAAGTGTTCGAACCCTTGATGAGGTAAAATTTTCTCATCAAGTCCAAAACATTCGAACCAAGTTTAAAACCATTTTGAAAAACTTGAATTACAATTTTGGTTAAACAAAATGAACCAAGAATGGGTCACTGGTCTAAAGTAGAATACATTATGCCAGTTATTCTTTTAATCAAAATAGTTAAAATAAAATTCAAATAATTCATCTTTTGAGAGACGCATTCTCTTCTCATTCCATGGTTGTTGCCCCCAGTTTACATACGACAACACCATTTGAATACTTATTTTTGAAAAATCAATTGTTTTTGGGTTTTGAGGATTTTTGGTTTGAGTTATGATAGTAGATCCTATTTTTATAAGGATAGATTCATAAAATTCTTAGAATTTTTTGATATTATAATGCATATATTGAAATTTTGGAGGGAGAAGATCTTGAAAACATTCATTCAAAGATAAATATCTATTTATCCATTGTGTTTCCATTTCAAAAGCTGGATTATAGGTCGATTAGAGGAAATAATGAAATGTATTTAGATGGCTTATTTGAGGAAGTTTTTCAGAACCTTGAACAACTTGTTTAAAATTTGAGGGTTTTGACCATTCTGGAATAAGTATACATTGATTAGGCTTTTTAAAAACTAAGGTTACAAGGGTAATGTTTTGAGTATATTGAGAGGAAGAAGAGCCTTGTTCTTCTTTTCTTGAAGATGATTCTTGAATGCAATAATCTATTGAAAATAAAGGAATAGTAGTCTTTTTTCAACTACTTTTCTTATGAAATGGAGTTTCAGAATAAGCCATTGAAACTTTCTTTGTTTTTGAAATTTCACTCTCTTTTGCCCAATTCATTAACTCTTTTTCCAAAAGATTGAATATTCTCACAACTCTCTCTACTTTTTATGAATTCTCTTGTGAGGAAATTTGCAAGATAATTTGATTTACCTTGTATATATAATATTTCCAAATCAAAATAGGACAAAATAGTCTTCCATCTAGCAAAAATTTGTTTTGAAACAAGATTTTTTACGTCTTGCTATAAAATATCTTTTGAAACTTTACAGTCTGCTTTCAAAATAAATTTTTTATTAATTAAATTATTTTGAAATTTTGAAATACGCAATACAATGGGTAAGATCTCTTTTTTGTAAAATAATTATTTTGAGAGCCGGTTCACAGTCCACTATGAAACCTAACCAAATATTCTTGATTTGACTCTTTTAGAATCTTCTTTAAAACACTACCATACCCTATGTCAAATGCATCAGTCTCAACAATAATGAAGGTCAAGGATTGAAAGATAGGGAATACTTTCGACAGCACTTTTACTTTTCTTACATCTAAATATGCTCGTGACTCCATGAGTTAGAATGTTTTTGTAGTCTTTTGAAAAGAGGGGCACACGTCAATTTTATATCTTTAATAAAGTTTGACACACAATTGATGCAACCAAGGGATCTTTGTAGATTAGATTTTTCTAAGATTTCGTCAAAAAATATAGTAGTAAAATCTAGACTTCTTTGAATTTGAGTAATGGTTCCTAAATGGATAATATATCCTGAAAACTTGATTTTTATTTGACAAAGAACAATTTTTTTAGCAGAAACTGCTAAATCATTTTTCTTGACTACATGAATAAATGCATTTAAATGTTTGAAATGCTGTTCTATGCTTTCAAAAAAATATAAGAACAGCAACTATATAAACAACAATAAAATCTGAAAAACGATTAAAAATGCCATTCATAATTTTCTGAAATTCGGATGGAGAATATTT